CTAACTTTGTTACTTGGAAAAAGTAAATTTTTCTCTTTTAATTTTTTCAAAATTTTTGCTACTAGTCATAAAATAGACCTGGTCACAGTCTAGTTATTGTCTTACCACAGTGGCTGAAATGCTACAAAATAGAGATTTATTTAAATTAAAAGCAAATAACTTTGTGAGAGCCAATCATTTATACTCTAATGTTAATTATTACAATTATAATTTTACATTTTTATAACTGGATGAACTGGAAACACTAAAAGGAGTAAAAAATAAGGAAAGGGGAATCGATTTTGTATTTTCAACAGCAAGAAGACAGTGCCAGTTGGACTACAAAGTAGGATTTGGGCCTACAATTCACTCACTGATTGCTTGATTCATTCATATATTCAGTCAAATATACTTCCTCAGTATTTGTAATGTGCCACGTCTCTTCTAAAGGCTGGAGATAGAAAGACAAGTTGCAGCCGGAAACAAGATGACAATATTTAATAACTGTGTTCCAGGGAAGGCAGATGATCATAAGATGAGAAGAGCAGAAAGCTGAGCAAAAGGGAACCCAAGTTAAATATTGACTACTCAGATATTTGGCCTCGGGCCAACCCTGCTTTCTTTCATGATGACACTTTAGTCAGAGTAAACAAAAGCAAGTGTGTAATTTAGAATAAGAACAAGCAAACAGAATCATATCTTTCAACCTTTTACCAACAACTATTATTTCTGTATGTACTTCTATAGTTTCAATAAAACAATCTGATTGCAATAACAGTTTATTTGGCAATATCTGTGACCGAAAACATGCCTTAATGTTTCTTTAGTATAGCTATAGGTTTATGGCTCGCCACATTGTAAATGATATGGAAGGTTCCCCTTACTCAAGTAAATAACGATATAAAATATCAATAAACACAGAAAATGATGAAGGTATTGATTTTAATTAAATGAATGCCTCAATGATTTTTCCTCAGTCTCATTCTTTTCATATTTATTTAAGCCTACCATGGCTTCTTTTTTAACAGTGTGAAACAATTTTGCAATAGAAGACACCATAGTTTTTACGTAGCTGTAACACGGAAAGAAACCTACTTTAAGACAACCTTTTTAAAGGTATATTCTTCTCACCTGGTTTTCCCTGTTCTGTTATATCTAATTATTTATTGCTATATTCAGAAAACAGAGGGTATCTTGAATTCAGGGAAATAGGAAGCAACAGAAAGATTTCTTGAGATCACTGTAATACAGCAGTTTGCTATGCATTAACTTAGGCATAATCATGCCCAGTAAAGAGTAAAGAATGCACATTTAGTTCCTAACATTAATATCTAGATCTTGTTCATGAAGAGACTGATGAGAACCTTAGGCACTATGTAAATATGTAACGTAAGAAATACTTCAATAAAAATATTACTTATTAATGGGTTATTATATGTTATGGGTTGAATTGTGTCTCCCTCAAATTCACATGTTGAAATCCCAACCTCCAGTACTTCAAAATGTGACCTTATTTGGAGATAGGATCTTTACAGAGGTAATCAAGTTAAAATGAGGTCATTAGGATTGGTACTAATCCAATATGACTGGTGTCCTTTTAAAAAGGAGAAGTTTGGAGACAGACAGGCACACAGGGAGAACGTCACATGAAGATGAAGGCAGAGATCCGGGTGATGCTTTTACAAGTCAAAGAATGTGAAGGATTTCCAGCAAAATACCGGAAGCTAGCTGAGAGGCATGGAACAGATTCCTCCTCCCAGCCAGTTTGTGATCCTTTGTTATGGCAGCCCTAGCAAACTAATAAACTGGATCTCTGGTCTAATACTCTCTTCAAAATATTGCCTACTCTTTGTTTATTGCTCTCTAAATGACTTCTGTCTGGTTTTGTGACTCTCTGTGACTGCTAGTATTAGTAATAACAACAATAATAATAGTAACAGCTAGTTTTTTGAGCAGTTACCACATCCTAAGCTCTGTTTTGATCATTTCTGCCCCCCTGAGATCAATGGGAATGAAGGAAAGATTTTTCATATGGAAAGAGTAATTTTATTACATTATTAAGATTTAATGATTAATAGTAAGTATGTTTATTAAGCCACTGAGGGTTTGGGGATGGGTTTAAAGGAGCTTATGTTACTTACTCTAATCCAGAAATTGTTACCTTTAAATGAGATGCTGCTCCAAGAAAATCTGAAAATATGAAGCCTTAAGGTAAATGGCATGTGGTGAGGAAACTGATACTTAAGGCTGGGAATATGGCAAAAGCTTTGCTAAAAACCACTGCCTACTCTAACTTAGAAGGAAGATTACATACCTACTGATCATTTCCAGTTAGATGTTGAAATGTTTCACAGCGCTAACGTGTGTTTTCTATTATCAGTTGCATTTCACGAAGTGTTACCAAGAAACAACAAGCTCAGGGAAGAATTAGTCTGCTTGCAAGCAAAAAAGAACAAGAGTCCAGGAATTCAAGGTCTTTTAGGGTTGGAAAACCAAACCACTTGTAGAGGTTGAACTAAAAGACTTTGAGTGACAACGCACAGTAAGAAAAACTTTCCAGTTGAATAAATGGACTTGGGGCAAAAATTAGAGTAGGGTGTGACTTGACCCTTTTTGCTCAAAGAATCCAATAACAACCACCATTAAGTTGATTAGGAAAGAGGTATGAGGGTGGAGGAAGTAGCCATGTAAAATAACTTTGAATATTATTTTTAGGAAATAAATTTGGGTATGAGTTCTGTCAACGAGAAACCGGATGAAGCAAATAGATCAGAAGTCTACAAAGTTTTTGAGGGAATTGTATGGTCAAGGAAACCACAATGCACTGTTAAAAAAAGTCTTTATTTTAAATTCAAATACTAACATGCATTCTTGTATTCCCACATCCAAAAAGGGCATGTTTTCCCAATTCTTTTCAGATGTGGGTAAGGAGAGTAATGACAAGGAGGAGGTTCCAAGAGGTCATAGCCTGGGGCTACAGAGAAGAAATGACAAGGTAATTCTTCCCAGATAGTAGAAATAAGGCCTAGTACAGCAACTTTTTCCTCCCTACCCTACCTTCACCTCAGGTGTGAGACTTTCACAGCATCTGTGCAATGGTATTTCACAATTACATTGACTGCTATGTATCTCCTGTTCTTCCCCTTCTCGATTCAGAATATTTATTGTAGACATCCTGTGTTTGGAGGTGAGGTGGGGGGGCAGATAACTTGTCTTTTTGGTTCGCAGATCTCTTGCCCATGAGGAGCCACATATGAACCTGAAGGACAGGACAGTGATCCTGGTCCTGAGATGGATGCAGTGAATGGAGGCATATCAGATTACTATCTTTGGAGAGGAGGTTGATGTGAGTTTGTTTGATATATGAGAGGAAGAAAGAGGAATAGTGACAGAGATTTGGTTGATCAGAATTTGGGCTAGGGCTGAGACTATGCTATGTGTTGAACACACTGTTTTCTCTTTTTGGGCAGATAAGACAATTGCATATGTTATGCTCCCTGAAATTAGATTACGGCTGTGTGACTTAGTTCAGGTCAATGGAATGTAAGCAGAAATAGCGTAAAACAGTTTTAGACCAGCCCTTAAAACAATACTGCACAATTCCCTATTCCGATATTCCCCTTCAGTGTTAACCTTGCACATTTTTTCAGACGTACTAAAAGATAGAAGCACCTTTGGTCCCTGAGTTACCACTTAGAGGGGATCTGCTCAAGAGAGCTGCCTGACCTGTGTTAGACTGTGACTTCAATGAAAAATAAACAGAGATTCTGAGGTGTATTTCTTACTCTAGACCAGCCCAGTCTATCCTGCCTGAAAACAAATATCCTAAGGACATTATAACTCATGCCAGGCCAATTTCTATTCAATAGTTTGCAATCAGGTGAAAGTCTAGGGCAATTTAATCCAAAATACAGCTAGGCTTTGCACCCTAATTTGACAATCCAACAAGAGTACCATCTCCCAAATTACCCTGGGTAATAACTGTTCTAGTTTGCAGTTTCTCTGCTCACCATAGCTAATGTTTCCCCAAAGATTAGAGACAAGGAATGCTATAATTTCTATACCCATCACTGTTACATTTTTAAGATATTTTATAGTGTAGCCAGAAGATCTGTTTGGATCTATTTGATATGTCTCTCAGCATCTGAGTTTCCATGAGTTGTTCTCTACATTTTCCTAAATAGGGACCAGCCTCACTAGCTGTCCTTCTTTCCTCCCAGAATCTGGAAGGGAAATTCAGATACACATATCAAAAAGACCATACAGTTAAAGAAAACCATCAATTCTTACTCCTCTTTGATGGCCTCTGATTTGGCGTCCCTTTTGCTTACTCTCCCAGGGCGTTTTCTGTGACACATGAAAGGTAGGAAGGAGCATAAAATGATGCCAAAGTTAGAACTAGCAACAAGTCTGGAATTTGGCAAATAGTTCTCCTCACTACTTTCCTTACTCTCCAATGGTTCTAGACTGGAGGCATGATTTTCTCTTTTTCCTTTGAAAATGTTTGCTTTCATGTTTTAAAACTGGTTTCTGAGACTCTACGTGATGAGAGGGCAACCTTTTTCATATGCATTACATTTTCTCTCATGTGCCTTTCTCCTTTTGACTTTGCCTGTTCTTATGGTTTGATTTTTCTTTGTGTTTTTGTAGGAAAGGTCTTGTCTACTTCAAGATAATAAAAATATCCACCTCTTTTCTACCTAGCTAATTTTATTTCTTAAATTTTTATAAATTTAAATCTTTGATCCATCGGGACTTAATTTTTATATAAAACATGAGATATAATGTCAGGTTTTTTTTTTCAAATGGCTAAATGGTAGTTCTTAAAATTTATTTTGAATAATATAGTTTTGTCTGTTCCCCTTTAAATTTATTATTCCCCTGTTAAATTCCCATTTGTACTTATTCTTATTTCTAGCGTCTCTAAACCTAAATCTGTTTTTCTTTTCGCCTTTCTTATTTCACTGAAAAGCAACACTGTCCCTTCTTTTGCTCAAAAAGGGAAATTCAGATTCTTGCATTTTGATTTATAGAGTTTTTTGTACCTTCCTTTTCATAATTTTCATGTTAACTCTAGCTAAGAAACATTTTTTCAAATATGCATCCTACTCCCATTCATTATTTTGGGACCCATCTGTTTAGATCATGACGAAAGCCTCCGTACTAGTTTCTCTTTCTTCAGTATTTGCATTTTTACCCACTCATCCTTTAGATGGTTTCCAGAGATATAATAAAGCATTGACCTGACCATGGCACTGCTATACTTAAATGCATTATATGTCTATGCAATACCAAATTCCTTAGCATTTTAACATTCTTCCCCTTCATCTTCATCTTAGCTGTCTAGTCTTGTCTCACAGTACAAACCTTGTGTTAATGTTCTTTTGGGCTGCTCTCTATGCACTGAACATGCTCTACTCTTTCTCATCTCCCAATATTTGCCTTCAATCCACTTTTCCTCTTTTGTCTGTCTGACATGTCCCTGTACATGCTTCATGACCTATCTAATTGCTAGTTTTATTTTACCTTCCCAGGTATTCCATTTTTGTCCTCATTCACTTTAAATAAGCTTTCATAATATCTATCACAAAATATTATAGTTACTTATTTGAATAGCTGCCCTTGAGGAGAGTTATCTTCTTATCCATATTCTTATCCACCACATCTAGCAAGGTACGTGCCATGTAGCATGTGTTCAAAATAGTCTCTCAAATTGAATTCAAAGGGGAAGAAAATCTCTAGTAACTTTTGAGCATTTTTTAAGGTAACAGCATACATTCCATTTACCCCATCCCAATCAGTTTTCTGTTGGATGAATTACCTCTTCATCATTGCTTATAGTCTTGGTGGAGGAATAATTCCAGGTCCCTCTCTCCCACGACTTGAGATAATGGACCCAGTTTCTTCTCTATGCTTTTTGGAACAACCAGGGAAGGGCATGTGAATGACACAAGGCTCAGAGTGAATGATACAAGGAACAGAATTAATTATACAATGACTGAGGAGCTGCCTGGAGGTCAGTCATCAAAACACCATCAATGGCGGCAGCAGTGTTAGCACTGCAACTAGTTTATGAGACTGGGCTTGATTGCTTCTAACTTCATGACCATGCAAAGCTTCTTCTGTTGATAATTAAATGTTTCCTTTTCAATGAAGTCTACCTTGACGAATCCATTTGAAATTATAACCTGTGCATACTCTTAATACCCACACTTTGCTCTAATTTTTTTATGTACATAGTACTTATCTTCTAATGTAATACATCATTTATTTGTTAATAATTTATCCACTCCAGACTTTTTGTGTTTACTATTTGCGTGGTATACCTTTTTCCATCTATTTACTTTCAATCTATCTGTCTTTATAGTTAAAGTATATCTCTTTTACACAACATATAGCTGAATCATACTTTTTCTTCATTCTGATAATTTCTGCTTTATATTGGAAAGTTTATGCCATTAAAATTTAATGCAATTGTTGATGTGGTTGGATTTGGGTCTACTATTTTATTATTTGTTTTCTCTTTGTGTCCTCTGTTTTTTGTTCTCCTGTTACTGATTTCTGACTCCTTTTGGATTATTAGAATATCTTTAAGATTTCTATTTTAATTTATCTATTGGCTTTTTAGTTATGATTCTTTGCATATTTTAAGTGTTTACTCTAGGGATTAAAATATACATTCTTCTCTATTCACAGTCTACTTAGAATTCACATTGGGCTACTTCACATAAAATATATATAGGAATACATACTGGAATCATACAGGTCTATTAAACACCTAGTCCTTTAAGTTATAATTATCATGTATATTACATTAACATACATTATAACCTCCACAAGACAACGCTATAGTTTTAGCTATAATCAGTCTTATGTACTTTAAAGAAATTAAATGAAAAATAAAATAATTTTTTAAAAATATTTATTCAGACAGTTACTTTTTTATGTGTGTGTGTGTGAGGAAGATTGGCCCTGAGCTAACATCTGTTGCCAATCCTCCTCTTTTTGGTTGAGGAAGATTGTCACTGAGCCAACATCTGTGGCAATCTTCCTCTATTTTATGTGGGATGCCACCACAGTATGGCTTGATGAGTGGTGCTAGGTCTGCACCCAGAATCCTAACCTGCGAACCCCCTGCCGCTGAAGCAGAGCATGCAAATTTAACACTACGCCACTGGGCCAGCCCTCCGATAATTACCATTTTTGATGCTCTTTATTCTTTCCTAAAAACACAAGCTTTCATCTGGTATCATTTCCTTTCATACCAAACACTTCCTTTAGAATTTCTTATATTGCAGGTGTGCTCATGACAGAATTTTGTAGTTTTCTTTTATTTGAAAATGTTTTTATTTCTTCTTCATTCTGGGAAAAATTACGTCCACTGGATATAGAGTTATAGATTAACCATGTTTTTTGTATTTAAATTTTTTATTAAATTTATTAAAGATATGGTTCCATTGCCTCTGATTATTTTCTTTTCTAATGAGAAGACAGAGATCACTCAAATTGTTGTTTTCCTTTATATAATGTGTCATTTTTCTCTTGCTTCTTTCAAGATTTTCTCTTTATTATTGGTTTTCAAACGAGTTTCTTCATTTTGACGGCTTGGGTTCACTGAGCTTCCTGTGTCTGTAATGTATGGCTTTCACAAAATTTGGGAAGGTTTTGGTCATTATTTATTCAAATATTTCATCTACTCTGTTCTCTTTCTCCTTGCATTTTTGGACTCCATTTGCACATATATTCAAACTTTTGATATTGTCCCACAGGCGCTTTGTTCATTTTTTTGTCAATATTTTTTTCTCTGTGTTCTTTGGTTAAATGACTTCTATTGACATACTTTCAAGTTCAAAGACTCATTCTTCAGTTTTCTCCATTATGCTGTTACAACCATCCAGTTAATATTTTTTCAGTTTTGGATATTTAATCTAAAATTCCAATTTGATTTTCTTACAGATTAAAAAAAATTTCTGTATTTAGAGTTCTTATTTTTTTTTCATCACAAGGATATTTTCCTTTACCTTATTAAACATAGTTGTAATCATTGCTTTAAAATTATTGTCTGCCGCTTTGAACATTTGGATAATTTCAAGGCTGACCTCCATTGACTGTGTTTTCTTTTGAGAAAATGAGTTCTTCATATGTTCACTAACTTCATAGTGTAGATGTTATGAGGCTGTAGATTCTGTTATATTCCTCTGAAGAAAATGTTTATATTTCTGTTTTGGTAGGCAATTTACTTAGTAAAACTACAAATACAGGCATTATCAGCAACTCAAGTCTTGATCCAGTTATTTTTTTCCCCTTGCTGGGCTGCTTGCAACCTGTCCTGCATGTATATGACTCA